CGTGGGTGGATTTACACAGCGATTACAAGGTGCAGAGATATCAATAAAGTCAAGTTTTTCAAAGCAGACATAGACGATACTGATGTAAATGAAGCACACGTAACCAGATATTTTGAACATAAGATTAAACAGTATACATTACAAGACATGAAATCTCAAAGGGAGATAAATGAAAATAAATATATAGATGTTGAATGGTTATTTGACAGGCTTAATACCAGATGTAATAAATGCAGTTCAGAGTTTGACATAGAAATAAATAATGGCGTACTAAATAGAATATGACAGCCCAAAGAATAAACAACGATTATGCCCATCATAAGGAAAACTGTATATCTTTCTGTTTAAACTGTAATCGCCGGAAAAATAATATCTATCTTATTTTATATGGCATCTAAGCAAGATATTATTAATAATGTTTATTATGATAAGGGAGGCTTCGGAAGTAAAGCCACCACACTGAAGGACAGTAGGGCAAAGGATAAAAGCATAACAATGGCAGATATTGAAGAATTCTTTAAACATAATGTTGAACAAAAAACTAAAATGAGAGGATGTAATAGTTTTATCCCAAAAGAGCCATACTGGGAATATCAGATGGATTTATTCTTTTTCAATGACTTAGACAATCAAAAAGTTAAAGTTGCTTTTTTGTTTATTGATGCTTTTACAAAGTACGCAGTTGTCATACCTATCAAATCTAAACAACCTGAAGATGTAGCACATGGAATAGTAGAAGGATTGCACAAAATGGGAAAACACCCAATATGGTTTACGCAGATACTGAAGGTTCATTTACATATCTAGCATTATTCAAGACTATTTAAGAAAGAGGGCATTGAACTATATTTAACAAGAGGACATGCTCCAATGGCTGAGCGCTTTATAAAAACTTGTAAAGGGATGTTATACAAAAGACTGGAACACGACGAGAAGAAAGGAAAAGACAACATACAATGGACCAACTATAACGTTGAAGTATTACTTACTTATAATAATAAAATGGTTCATTCTACAACTGGATACACTCCACAAGAGGCGCGGAAGAAAGGCAATGAGCTTAATATAGCATTGAATATATCAATGAAAGCAAAGAAAAAAACGCAAGTATCCTGAACTGGAAGTTGGAAGAGGGGCATAACAGAAAAGGAACGAACCAGCTGGTTGAAAAGTGAGCATACAGTTGAAAAAGTAACCAAACAACTTGGGCAAGAGTATTATGAAGTTAGTAATTATTCAAAGCCACTCTTAAGGCATGAAATGCTGAAAGTATGACAAAAAAAGGAATAAAACAGTATTTTAAAGAATAATTCACTTAGTATAGTAAGATATGACGGAAAATAAATACAAGAATGGCAAAATATACAAAATCGTAGATATTGGATATAGCATGTGCTACATAGGCTCAACCGTATTGTCAAAAAGGTTCGGTCATCATCGCGATACCTTTGAAACTCATCCTTGTTCATCAGCAATCATATTCAAAACTTACGGCAAAGATAATTGCAAATGTGAATTAGTAGAAAACGCCCCTTGTGAAAACAAAGAACAATTAAACACCCGTGAAAGGTTTTACATTGAAACTATGGAATGTATAAATAAGTATATTGCAGGTGGCAATAAGTCTGACTGGGACAGGCGATACTATGAGAAACACAAGGAAGCGCATTCTGTTAAATCCAAGGCATATTACCAAGACCACAAGGACGAAATCAAAGCACAAAAACAAATATACAGAGAAAACACCAGAGAGCATAAAAGACAAGTGGATAAACAGTATAGACAAGACAATAGAGACATGTTAAAAGCAAAACATTTAGAACAAATATTATGTGAGTGCGGGTGTTATTCTGTACGGTCAAGCATTGCCAGACATAGAAGCACCAAAAACACAGAGACTTGATGGAACAAAAACATGATGAAAATTATTAAAACCATACTATGATTATAACATTCATCCCTTATATGTTATAATTATATTTCAATATTTACTTTTATTTCTTGGGAAAAAGTATTTAAAGAAATAAACACTATATATATTATAATAATATTAGTGAATATTCTTTGAGCGAAGAAGATGTATGTAGAACTTGTCAGGAATGGAGAGATACTCAAGCTATAATCAAGTGCGCGTTGAGAATAAAGAGAAGAAATCATAGAAATGTTGAAGACGCTATTTTAATATTCCTAAATATTTATACAATCCCACCTTACGATTATGTTAAACAGTTTCTTAAAGTCAGTAATAAAAGTATGAAATGATTGACCACATATTATGGATGTTGTTATATCGTAGAAGAGAAGGGTTTGATGTAAAAGAAGACATTAAATCATATATTGAAAGTAAACAGTTTAATGTTAAAAATACAGTTAGAGATACTAATATTATTTTTAAAATGATGTATGAAAGAAGTAAGATGTATCAATTAAATAGTTATCCTGAACTGACACTATAATCATACTATAATAATAACATGTAAAATATTACATGTTATTAATTTTTTTCCAATTTGTATTTTTATTTCTTGTAAAAACGTATTTAGATACATCACAACTATATATATTGTAATAGAAATGGTTGACACCGAAATCAACAGTTATATTAATAAGAAATGCTATGATTGTTGCCACTTCAAAAAAGAAAATATGGAATTAACAAATTGAATTTACCAACTGGTATAGTAAATAAGATTATTGATTATTCTTTGGGTAAAGAAGATTTATGCAACATTTGTAGAAATTGGAGATATTAGCAAGAAGCAATCGAATGTAATTTGGATATTAAAAGTTTTAATGAAAGCAATTTTGAAGATGACATTTTGATATTTTTAACTGTGCATGAAATACCACCTTATGATTATGTTAAAGCATTTCTTAAAATCAGTAAGAAAAAGTGTGAAAGTATTAACTACATATTATGGGCATTGATTTATCATAGAAGAGAAGGGTTTGAGGTAAAAAAACATCATTAAATCATATATTGAAAGTGAAAAGTTTAATGTTTAAAATTCAGTGAGAGATATTAATATTATTTTTAAAATGATGCATGAAAGAGGTAAAACATATCAATTAAATAGTTATTTTGAACTGAAATTATAATCATACTATAATAATAACATGTAAAATATTATATGTTATAATTATATTTCAATATTTAATTCTATTTCTTGTAAAAAAGTATTTAAAGAAATAAACACTATATATATATATTATAGTGGACATGCTATTTAATTATTAAAAGTGCGAATGTTGTAAAACTAAAAGGAATGATGTTAATACAACATTGTATAAGTTATTACTCGCCAATCTATGAAATAAAATAAGTGAATATGATGTATATTGTAATCAATGCTGTAGGACAAGAGACCTTGAACAGTTTTTTGTTGAAGAACATAAGGATAAGGGATATACCAAGTTTCAATTACAATTAAAATTCTTTATGCAATACCAAACAAGATTTCCTATACACTTTTACCATAAGATTTCCACAAAGTCAGTTGAACAAGAAATTGACAAATTCTTTAGCAATGAAGATTTAATTAAGAGGTTTGGAGGGACAAACGCAATTAAACCATATAAATCATTTGCTAAACAATTTCGAGACATGTTTGAAGCGATTGATTGGCATTTATTAAGTAAAGATAGAATAAACGAGGTCTTGAATGAATTTAGAAAAACTAAATATAGTATATGGCATTACTACAACACTAAATAAAAAGTATGTCTATTGTTGTATTCTTTTGGGAATACATTTATTCAATAATAGGAAAATACAATATCAAATATATAGATAAAGATGATATATATAAATATGTAGATTACATATTTGAAGACACATTGCCTGACCATTATTTTAACCCATGATGATTAAAACCATACTATGATTATAACATTTATACCCTTATATGTTATAATTATAGTGTAAGTATAGCGTTTTATATATTGAGGATAAAATCCTACAAGGAGGATGCGAGCGTTAGCGAAGCTCGCAAGCTATGCGACCACGCCTATTAACATATATGATGAAACGGATGAAACGAAGGAGGAGAGGTTTTTGATAAAATAAATATTTTCTGCCCTAACATATGTAAAGAAAAAAGGGCATTATACGGCAATGGAAAACGAACTGAACAGATGCCCGAGATGTAGGAACAATATGATAATATGTGAATTCAAAGAGGGTAAAAAATCATGAGACAGAAATGTTTGGCTCAAAAACGAGAGGCAAGCAAAAAAGAAACAGAATGCGAAGTGTGTAAATGCATGATAAAAAGCGCGAGGAAATCAAAACACGAAGAAACGCTGAAGCACTTACGAAATCTGAAGGCACGAGAGGAAGAATTACACCCTGTAAAAATGATTGAGTGTGCCATATGTAAAAAAAACATTAGAGAAGACTTATTTAAAAGTCATCCAAAAACATTTATGCATAGACAAATGAAAAAATGATATAGACAAAATGTGTTGGTATGTTCTTTTGATTTTTGGGAGATGAAAAGAACATATGGCGGTGCCTGCTTTGATTTAGTAGAAAGAATGGTTCTGCCCGAGGGGGGTGAAGTTGTTTGTGCATTGAAAACATGAAAAAGACCCTAGGGTGGGGGCTGGACTTTTGAAAGCAATTATTGCTAGGCGTGCCCCCCGACTTTTTCACCCTGGCTCTGCAAAGAAGTGTGTTTAGACTCTGTCCGTGGTCTGATTCCACGCTACGCAGGCGATACATGAGATGCGCTGGATCCAGTTGCGATGTATCCGCAAATGCTTTTGAAAGAGAAGGAAATCAAAAACAAAAACAAGACAAGACACATCAAAGCAAAGAACACATGCACACACACACATCAAGCAAGACACATCACTGAGACCAAACTGCAGAACACCCCAATATACTTTAAGCAATCTGTTCCGCAAGGATTGACAACATAAGGCGAAGACAAACTGCAAATCGAGACGCCCGCCCAAGGCTACCCCCCAAGCCGTCCCGTCATTGTCGCGCACTCGAGGTGTGCCTTGCGTCAGATGCGGCAGCTGCAGGTCCTGCCCAACCAGGCGCTGCCAAGGCCAGATGCCTCGAACTGAGGGCTTCCTTAGGATCATAATCTACAGTGGGCTGAACATCCAACAAGGCGAGTGGAAACGTTGAGCCGCGTTGACCTGTCTCTCGTTTTTTTCTCTCACTGAAGGATCCGCACCGTTTTCGCCGGAAACTTAGAACCATATCCATATCCGGACGAAATGGAGGAAAAATAATACTACAGCAAGTCACTGAGTTCCCTTGGTTTGTGTCACCTGGTACCATTCCAACGGAGTCGACCGTTTTGGAAGGCAACTTTCATATTGGGGGCTGTTTTCCCAGAACCCACTTCCATGATTGGGTATGACACCTATGTCCGATCATGGTTATATGATTCTAAGTTATAAGCACCTTGGCATGGAACCATGGAACTTGCCCTCCGTTTTTCGCAAACATCGGGCGGTTCTCAGACAGAATGGCCCCGGTTTCGGCAGTGTCCTTACACGTGTTTCTCCCAATCAGACCCTGTCCCTTTCACCTCTGCCATTTTCCAACTACCATCCAACCGTTGGCTCTCAAGCCATGGGATGGTTCCCCAAACAAATCGCCTGGATCAGCTTGAAAGGGGCCTGAAGTCTGGCCCAGATCACTCTGCAAGCTCTGCGGCACGCTGGCAGGACAGTTTTACTGGGTCCAGTGATTCCGAAGTTTTTCTGGACGCCAGCCAGGCATTTTCCATTGGCCTGGGCTTCCCCGTTGCAAGGGGCCAGATTTGTCAGCACCAATTGTGGGTAGAATGGGCTCACTATGAAGGTCAAATTAGTTGCAGATATGTCAAGGCAAAATGCAACTTGTTTGAAGCAACACCGGTTGGCCAGGTTTTCGATCACCAATTCCGCGCTCGCTCCCGGGCACCTCGGGTCCGGTTCATAAACTACCAGGGCCATCTATTATTCAACCAAAAGGACGCCTATGATCGGCCTGCGGTTCATCATACCCCCTTGTTGTACGGCGCCAGGAGGGCGACGGGCGGCGAGGGCGACGGCGAGTGCTCCAAAGCTGGGCAGTCGCCAGGAAAACAGGACTGAGCTCCGAATGCGTAGATTGTCATTCTGGTCTGAGGGGTCAAGCCCCAGAGACTCACATGCCATATTTGTGCTAGTGTTTCCTTGTCGCTTGGATATTTTGTTGCTGGCAAGCAGCTTGGTTTCATGCCTGGCTTTCTCAAGCCAGGGCAGGCTGCCCACGAATTTTAGTCATACGGACAGAGCACCGTTTGCAGAAACACAACAACTTACAAAGGCAAGCGCAACTCAAGATGCAAGAGAACAACATTCTAAACCCACAGCAAGCCAGCCGACCGGGTTCCCTTGACAACCCCCTGAACACTGTGACGTTGTTGTCCTTCACACTGGAATTGCTTCGCCCGGATCGCATCAGAAATTCCCCTTTCAGATGGCGCGGGTTTGGCTGGCAGTTCAGGTTCGCTTCGCCTTTAGCCTCAGAGGCCCAGAAACGGCATGGTGGCGCCGAGAGATTCAGATTCAGCCGGAGGGCTCTCTGAAGGAGACACTGGCAGGCCTGGCTAAGACCCACATCTCTGTGCGGCCATCCCCAGACATAGAGGACCAGCTGATACTCTTGCACGCAGACCCGGCCGTGCTGCTGATCCCCAACCTTTGGAGACGTGAGGCCTGCGAGCAGCTTATTGCCGTGGCGAGAGGCAGCGGTGCCATGAGACAGTCGCACGCAACAGGCGTCAGCGATGCAGAAGCGCAGGCCCTCCGAACCAGCGGCAGCGTGGTCATCACGCCTGACATAACAAGGCGGTTTGGTGCAGAGCGCCTGGTCCGCAAGCTGTTTCGCGACCTCGCCGTGCTAGGAGTTGGAGGCCCGCAAAGCGGCTACGGAGAATTTCCGCAGGTGGTGCGGTACGAGCGCGGTCAGCACTTTGCTGAGCACCAGGATGCCTTTAACTGGGAGCAAGTCCAGCAGGATGGCTACCAGCGACAAGCAACCTTTCTCTTGTACCTGAACGATGTTGAAAAGGGCGGCGCCACGAGGTTTCCAGAGCTGGGCATAGATGTGCAGCCGCGCTGCGGCCAGGGCCTGCTTTTCTTCCCGGCCTTCAAGGATGGCAGGCAAGATGTGCGGACAGCCCATTCTGCAGAAGCGGCAGTTGACGAGAAATGGATTGTACAGGTGTGGAAGGGCAAGTTGGTTCCATCGCCGAGAAGATAGATAGATGCATTGTGAGTGAAAAAAGCAGTACCAAAAAAAACCTCAACTGAATCAACCATCGCATTACCAGAATCAGGAACTCAGGAACTAAACACATGTGGAGGCCTAGCTCCTTCCCCCCTTGCCTGTTGAACCCTCCCCCCTCCGTTTGGACCCGAAACGATGAGTGGTGCTTTTGAACCTTCTTTGTTTGTTTGTACGTGCATGTTTGGTTGGGTCGCACATCGAGGGACCCGTTCCTGTATTTTCAACCAGCAAGGGGATGCCGACAAGGCGAGCCCCTTGAAAGAAATTGCCGGAGGACTTGTACCAGGACGCGGGTTATCATGTAATGCATGTATGTGATGTAATGTAATGTAATGTAATGTAATGTAATGTAATGTAATGTAAGGTAAGGTAACGGAACGTAACGTAATGTAATGTAATGTAATGTAATGTAATGTATGCATGTATGTGATGACTGTATGTATGCAATGTAAATGAACTAAACTGAACTGAACTGAACTGAAATGAAATGAAATGAAACGAAACGTAATGTAATGTAAGGTGATGTAATGCAATTTAATGTTCCATGTAATGTAATGCAATGTAATGTAATGTAACGTAACCTAATGTAGTGTAACGTGTTTTAATGCAATGTGTTGTAATGCAATGCAATACAATGCATTGCAATGCAATGTGATGTACTGTATTGCAAGGTATGTATACCTACACCTACACATACATACACAACATAAAATAACATATCAAAACAAAGAATCGCATCGCATCGCATCGCATCGCATCGCAATGCATCGAGTCGCATCGAGTCGCATCGCACCGCATCGCATTGCATCGCATGGCATCGCAGCGCATCGCATACATACACAGATGAGGTCTTACACTTGCACGCTGCCCGGCTGAGCCTTTTCCCAATGCCCAAGCCAGAGCTGCTTGACCGAAGGCCTGAGGAATGCAGCCAATTCCAGCCAGCTGGTCAGCTCATTGCTATCAGAACACATGGGTGCCGCCATGGGAAACCTCCTCTCAGAGTGCAAGAGGTTCGGGGCAGTTGGGGGGGGGGATCAGCAAACGGAGGGATTTCTGTTGGCCGCTGGAGTGCTGGCTCATGTGTTCAAAACAAATTCTAGTTCGTTGGCAATCCTGGGTCTCCGGGAAAGATTCTGAACGAGCTTTTCCCAATGTAGTCGAGAATGCTTCTCGGACTTTTTTTTGGACCAACATCACATGCCGTAGAATTGCAACGTCCGCCTTCCGATCTTCGCGATAGCCCCAGCCTGGCGACCTTGCTACCTGTTGACCTAAATCGGTTCCCTAGTTTTGGTTCTGTTGGCAGAATGCGAAGCCTGGATCTAAGTAGAACCCTGGTTTACTACCAGTGGGCGTCCAACTCCCTTTTATGGAGATTCAGATGACACCCTCTGTTAATTGGACAGGCGTATGATTCCGAGGTCGCAAAGCTTAGGAGCCTTTCGCGGTTTGGACAAGACCTTGATCCACAATCGCTCTAAGCACTCCTGGAGTGTGAACGAGTTCAGGGGGATTGGGCCACCGCATTGAATCACTGACCTTCCCATCAACAAACATAAAAGTGCCCAGGAGCCTTTTTCCAAAGCATGTGAGACGCGGTTTGGGCAAATCCATGTTTGGCGGGCCATTCTGCTTCTTTCACACAGTGCCCGGCAACTTGGGGTTTCAACAGCTCCGTGGCACGTTTTTGAAACGAACGCGCCTTGGCTCGCCACTCCCTCGCCCTTCGCCGCTCCCTCGCCGGTGGGTTCCTCGAAACACGTGCGAAGTGTCGCCTGGGGCAGGTGCGCTGTGCTCGTCGAGCAGTGCGACCTCTGCAATGCCAACGTGCCCAGGGCCCAGGGGCACCCGTTTTGCCGATTTTTGCCGCGCTTGGGAGAAGGTCGATCTGTGAACCAGCGCACTTGGGCTGGTTCACTCACCCAGACAAGATGATTCAGGGTTGTGGGATCAAGGGGTTTATGTGATACAAGGGAATCTTTCCCCTTATATGGACGGTTAGTCTTTGGGAAGCTTGAAGGGGTTAGTCTGGGGGGTTCGTCTTGGGGGGGTTAGTCCACAGCCCTGAGATGACTCTTTTGTTGTTAGCGTCCCCGAATTCCAACCTCCAAGCTTCTGAAGAATCCCACAATTCTTCCATGTTTCCCAAGGCTCAGAGAAAGAAGCACACTGTGCAAGTGATGGACCAAGAGCCGCATGGTGGATGTGGGTGCAAGACATGGGAGGTGGCATCAACATGTTTTGTTGTCTTGAAAGAACACAAGACTCAACCGCCAGTTCGAAGGGGCTTTAGCGGGCACAGGAGAAACTGTCGGGGAGTGGAGTAGAATCGGAGGTAGTAGCGTCAAGCACAGGTTTGTTGGATAACCGTCACAACTCCGGACCTGAATGTTGATCGCAGATCAAGCAATGCACCGATGAATATGCTTCCCTAAAACAAGGATCTTGTGATCCTGCGCCCCTACGAGTGCTGAGGACCCGTGGAGATGAGGAGCCTGCGTTGGGCAGGCTTCTGGGGCCTGACGGGCCATTTGGGGTGAGCTTGGAGTACCCTACCAGAGGAGTTTTATGGGCCTCGACAAGGGAACCGGCCCTGATTAGCGTGGGAATCCTCCGGGTTTTGATGTTACTCTTGTACTGTTCTTGGCATGTCGTTTGGGCTTGTTGGTTCTGTTTGATTGTGAATGCCAAACGATGTTGTTTTGCCAAGCCACCGAGGTGAGTTTTCCCTTGCTGTTATCAGGGAGGATGCTGCCTGACGAGTGGCTTCCAAGGTCGGCCTGGTGGTCTTACAGGGCAACCAGTGCCGGGCCTGTTTGAGGAAGAGAGCAAGATTAAGTTTTCAACCTTTTGGCAAGTCCGGTTGTGTTTTCCGCTTTGTTTCTTGCTTTTGGGCGACCCTCCCTACTTAATGCATGCTGCCTGGTGTCCCACCAATCATGAACGAAGGACTCTTGCCAGAGAGCGCCGCCTGTTTGGCAGCAGACATGCGCTGGCTCGCGTATTCGATCCGCGGGAGGAAGCTAGGTGATTTCATCATCATTGAGATGGTTGGCAACTGGGGTTGCGTCCCGAACCATGGTGAGAGCTGCAGCAACCCGGGCAATCCTCGCTTCGAACCGACCTTTTTTTTACGGCACAGTTGTGGCAGGGTTGCAGGTGGAACTGGATAGGTTTCTTTCTGATCATGGGGGGTGCGGTGCTCGCCAGGGCCGTACCTTGGGACACCGAAGGTAAAGGACACCTCTCGAGGATTCCTAGAAGGATTCCCAGCCAAAAACCAGAGTTGGGTTTCCATCTGAAACCTTCCAATGCGCTGGTACTTTGACACATCGGGTTGTTTTTACCGACCCCAAGCTACTTTAGGCTTTGTGGGGGAATGGTGTTCATCATGTGGTGGTGGCTTCTTATGAGGTTCCCTGTTGAGAAAGGGGGCTCTAAAAATGGAAAGCCTTGCCTGTCAGCGTCCATTTTTCATTTCCCAAAAGGAGACCCCCGAGTTTTGGACTTCCCCCGTCCCCCCTCCCGGCCAACTACTACAGAGCCGCTTCTGTACGCCCCGAGATAGCAGCCTGGTGGACCGGGCAAGCGATCTTGGCTCTGGGGTTTGAGATGGGTAAAATTGAAAGTGCCATGGATGGCTTGGGAGGCGTGGGATCTGGATGGCTTACTTTGGGGAGTTTTGCGAGCGCGGCTGGCATATTCTTGCAATGAGGGCATTAGGCAACACAGGTGCTGAATTTTGCCGCCTGGAAGACCAATGTGTTTTGGTCTTGTGAACTTTCCCGGGCACTTCGCACGCCGTCTTTCTGCGATATCGGCTCTTGGCGTAGCCGACAAGCAGACAGAAATCCACTTAGACTCAGACAGCCTCAGCAAGAGTTGGCGAAGCCCCACCAAAGCTTACCTCAGACAAATCGCCTGGTTTTTCAACCACTCCCAGTCAAATTGTAAAGCTCGTGTTGCCCGAGAACTGGGGTCCCCAGCCGCGACGGTGCCGGCCTCGGTGAAAAAGGTTTGGGTCAAGGTGTGTGGAGCCTTCTCACAGCTCGTTCTCGGCCACCCGTCTGTGAATGGAAAGGGGGGGGGTTCAATCCAAGCACAACAAGTCAGTGCCTTTGTTCTACACCGGGCGTTTGTGGTTGATTTTCATTGGGCGTGTCCCATTTAAGAGAGGGACCCCTCCTTTTTTGAGGAGCTCCCATGAGTCCGCCAGGTTGATTAATCCACGTTCAACATTAGACATGTTCAGTGTGCGGATGAGAGCAACCTTAAAGACAAGGTCTTGGCGCGTTCTTGGGGGGGGGGGGCATGGAGCACATCACGATGATCGCTCAGTGCAAATTACAAGCGTCTCACAGAGTTGGGCTTAAAACAATCCAAGAAAGGTTCCCTGGGATTCCGAATTTGCAGTTTGTGAAGCACAATAATTGCCCAAACACTTCGGGTTTGAAAAGCATGGATTGCACAGCCGGTTTCCGATCAACGAATATGATCCAATGGTTTGGGCGGATGAACAATTCCAGAGGGTGTTCGGGGCTGAGCCAGGAAGCTCTCCAAAAGGAGGACCAGCTGGTGTTGAGAAGGCATCCGCCAGAACAAAACGGACAACACGTCTCTTTTCTTGGGGGGGGCTTTTGGGTAGAGTCTTTCCATGCCAGGCGCTAAGAATATGACGACAACAAATGCCTCCCCAAACTGGCGATCGCCACAGGGTGCATTTGTGTACCTTATTCTTCTCAAATTGGGCAAGGGCAAATGCTCAGGACTTGCCACCTAACTTGCGCGCCAAAGCCAACACATGGGGTGTTTCGTTGGCTTGGTTGTGCAAGTTGATTCGACCTTTCGCCTTTCGTCTATTCTGAAAATGATATGTGTTGGAAAGTGGGCTATTGCCTTTGTACGTTTTTGGAAACATGACCTGTTCGGTTTTCACGTATTTGGAAGATGACCTGCCCAGCCACACCAAAGGGTCGTGCGTGCCGAAGTGCCGAAGTCCCAGGTTGCATCACCGGAAGTTTCGGGATGCAGGCGCGAGACGTCCGGGAAGAAATCAACGTTTTGAAGTGGCTGTGTCAGGTTGCCATAGAAGCTGCCAGGACAGTGCCAAAAGGATACGCAAAAGTTTTGGGCAGTTGAAAATCAAACTTACCGGCTCATTTGGAGGCTGCCCCGTGTGAGTCAGGCCTTTTTGGGTGTATCTTTTGCTTTTGGGGAACACCAAAAGAGAGTTTTCAGAGGATCACTTTCCGTTAGGGGCAGCCCTGTCCACTTCCGCAAAGAGAGTGACTAAATTGGGATGGGACCAGGCAAGTGGCGCCAGGCACATGATAAGCACCCCCGCTCGCGAGCTATGTCGCACGCCAATTTTGCAAACATTGGACGCTGCAGCTGCTCATTTGGTTCTGCTCGGATCAACTTGTTCTTTTTTGAGCTTCAACACGTCCTGTTTTTGGGCACTGAACATGTCATGGACATGCTGCTGCGGCCTCAGCGAAATCGTAGGTTTGACGTCAATCATGGGCCGGAAAAATCCGGTGGGATGTTTGTCGTTGTAAATGCATGCGTCAAAACTGGGGACCTTTTTTTTGAACCAAACTACCCATGTGGGAGGCAACGTATTCTTTTAACATGGGGTTGCCGGGGTTGCTGGCGAACTCCACTCATAGGGAACTTCGACAGTTAATAAGCAAGTGTTCGATTCAGACAACGCTCATGGCCCTCAGGTTTTGATGGCACATAAAATCCGAGCTCCGCTTGCTTGAGCCTTTTTGGTTCGCAACAATAAGTTTTGACAGGTCTAGAGCAGAGACCGCAGAACCGTTCACCGCGTCGCAAAATTGGTTAGGTTACATAAAAGGTCCCTTTGGGTAACCTAAGCGAGATGTTTGACCAGTGGTTTGCAGTGCTCAGTTTAAGTTCGTCGCTTGCTTGACTTGCTCTCTTGGTGCGCCCGGTCTCTCGATCCCTGCAGCCGGCCGAAACGCCCCTGTTGGCGTTTTCCGGGCACTGGTTTGGTCATGCCCATGTTCGGTGAGTGCAAACAACATGAGAGCTCTGCGAAATTCGAAAATTGGCTTTGGTCTTGTTTTGCATTCCTTTCCGGTTGCCACACTTCTTGCCAGATTTGTTGGAACCCTACGCCATTTTGACCACCCAAAACCCCGAAGGACCTAGAGTCGATGTTTCACCAGCGGCTTCTCTCAGTCTTCAGGGCGTCAGCACTATCCTGAGAGGCTTTGGGCAAGGCATTTCCGATCAGCAACAAAATCCTTGGCTTCGGCGGTTTTCATGCAGGGGCCAAGCTTGCCGCTTTCTCTCGGCTATTGTTTCAGGAAGCCGCTTGTGGATCTCCTTTGGATCAAAAAGGGGGCTCCATTTCTTGACTCTTCGTGGGTCCTTCTGTTTTTAATGAACAAACAAAAGGCGGGGGCGGGTTGGAGGGCAGCCGAGCTTTCGTTTTTGCTTTCGGCCTCGGCTCTGACCGTTGGATGGAATCAGCCAAGAAATTGTACTCTTCTCGAGGACTAATATGAAGCCTTTGTGAGGGTGGCTGTTCTCCATTGGTTTGTCAACCCGCTTCTTGTTGTGGACGCATCCCATTGCGGTACCTTCAACCCCCCTTTCTTCCCAGGTTGATGCGGAATTTGTACGTTTGGGTTCCTCTTCGTCCCTGCTGAAAGGGAGATTCCCTCTGGGTTTTGCGCTCGGGACCGAACCGCTCCGACACCAAAACCGGTCCCAGCGACATCGACGATGGCTGAGGGCGGCAAGAAGGGCCGGGGCCCGAAGGCGGAGCAGTGGAAGGCAGCGGACGCGAAGCGCTCGAAGCGTTTCGTTCTTGCCAGTCCATGAGAGGCGTTTTTCCAGTCCATGGGAGGAGGTGTACCCCCGAACTTTCTGTTTTCCTTTCTGGGGTGCCTGTTTTTGCTTATTGTTTTTTTTGTTTTTCCCGTTTGTTTTCTTGTCTTCCCCCGGGCTTCTAGGTGTTTTGTTGAAAGGGAAACCCAAGGGAAACCGAAACCGCTGCTAGAAAACCAGTTTTTCTTTTAATGAGAGAGTTACCCTATAGCTTCCCTGGGAGGAAAGCGGCCAAGAACTGGTTGCCGGTGTGAAGTTCCATGGGAACCCTTTTTCTGTCTGATTTGAGTATTCCTCCATCGGAAGCCCGGATCAATCTCTTCCTCTGGCACCCATTTCAGAGAGGATGGGGATAGAGTAAATGCTTGATTGGATTTGATTGGGGAAATGGGTGACAGGGAACTTTTTTGTGTTTTTGTTCTTTCTCAGGAAAGCCAAAAGGAAGACCGCACATTTTGGAGGGGTCCGAGTCCTACAAAAACGAGCCACCCCTCTGTCCAAGACATTGTGTTTATGAATCCAGGGTTCCCATGGTTTACCTCTCTCTCCCGCACCCTGGTGAGAACTAGGGTTGTAAAACCAGGCTTGCAGGTGGAACGGGAGTTGGTTGACTTGCAGCCGTGGAACACTGACAGATCTACCGTCACGAATCAACAATCGTCAGATTCGTATTTCTGCGAAGCGAGGGTTCCTCAAATAGCAGACCGCTTTTTGGATGGTTTCAATTGGACCTCCCAACTTTGAGACACCCAACTCTTCAATCAGAGCTCCTGCTGAGAAGGTTCGATTTGAGTCCGTTTGCCCTGAGTCACCGCAGTTAGGTCTTAGATCGCCTCCGAGTCTCCCAGCGTAGCACGCACTCTTGGCAGACTTCCGTCCTGTGAGACTGGTGTCGCTTGTGCAATAGGCCATGAGTATTTGTGGGAGGGCAAGCCAGTCGCCGGTTTTGCCAAGAGCGCAAGTAAGGCAAAATCATCTCAGACACCCAGCTCTGAGATGCGATATATGTTTCTCTTAGTCACGCCCAACATGCTTGAACGCTTTGCCTGTTTGTCGTAATGGGCGGCAAAGGCTGCGGCCCCAAACCAAGCTGCAAACCTTACTCCAATTGGTGTGTCTTGGCCGCCCTCAAGAAGGCATGGCATGGCATGGCATGGCATGCGAGTTTTGCATGCTTCCTTCTGCTCCGAGCCAACGTCAAGCTCTCCTTCCCTGCAGCTGGGACATCAGCATTTACACGTTCGAACACGTCCCTCTGGAAGGTGGGGCGCACCATGCTGTCCATTGATTCTTCCATGGGTCCATGACGTTCAAATGATACACCTGCAGCCCCTTGATTACACGTCCACCAACATGCATGACTTGTCCTTTGCCGCCAACGCATCAACTCCTTTGCCTTGCCCCTCGCCGTGCAACCAACACCACCTGCGAAACCTCACGAGGCTTCCGCCGGACGAAGTCGCGCCTGCGCCGGAGAGAGGTCCTCGAGAGCTCGCCCTGGCTTGGCCTCGCCAGGCCGCTCGCCCTCCACCAGACCCCAACAAGGAGCGGCTGCTGTACATGTTGACCTGCCCGCGCCCTGAGGGCTGAGGGGGGCGGCCGGGCGGCCTGAGCACCAGCCAGTAAACACGAGTTGGCCCTCGTGTTTGGGCGGCTTCTGGTTTTTCTCCAAGTTTTGTCGGACAGTTGCACCTTTTTGTGTCGCACGGAAGGCTCGTGAATGAAGGGATTTCGTGGGGATGCAACGCATGTTTGGTGTGTAGATGGGATTTTCCGGCCTGTCCGCGAGCACTTGTGAGAAGGGGGTCCTGATTGTAAGAAAACCATACCCATATGGTGGCTTTCTTGCAACAGGGAGGGTTTCCTCACACAGGGGGTGTTTCCTGCACACCGGATTCGTATGGCAGTCGAAAAGACATGGCAACCAAAACACAATGTTTAGAATGGTCAAGCACTACACTCGTTCTTTTTTTCGTCTTTTTTTCTCCCCCGTCTTTTTGTTCCCCCCGTCTTTCCTTTTTCTTTTTTCCCCAACAGCTGGAAGCTTTGGGGTCTCAGCCCAGATAGGCTCCGGGGTGGTCCGGGGCGGCCCTGAGATAAGGTTCCACGAGGGTTCCACTGGTTCCACTAGGGTTCCACTAGGGTTCCACCCGGGTTCCACGATGGTTCCACGAGGTTCTGCGAGGGCTGCGGGGTGGTGCGAGCATTAAAAAGAGCACCGCATGCTGTTGGGGATATCACCTGAGCTTATTATTTTTTAGTTTATTTTTTAAACATACCTCGGATAAACTGGCCGTCCAAAATGCCGCAAGAAAACGATGTAGCTGTGTAAGCTCGTTGAACCCCTTTTGGGGTTGGCTGTTTGTTCCGCAAGAGAGCCGGCCATTTGCAGGGACCCCTTTTTGGGTGTCGCATAGGGAGATGCAGTCGGTTCCTTGCGAGCCCTTCGAGTTCTCCTCTTTGCTGACCAGGGCCCGATGGGTTTAATTCGTGGGGTTGCTGCCGGGGGTGGAGCAAGCTGTGAAACAACCAGACCCTGTTGAAAGGGAGTCCTGGAATTTTTGAACGAGAGCTTGGCCCCAGCTGCCACACTGGTTTCTTTCCTTCCAACTCGGATTTGGAGCTGCTGCTTTCTTCCAGGGATGTCCTGGGGGTTTTACGGCCAGAGACCTTGCCATGGTTCAAAATGAATGGGCTCCTTTGAACCTGCGCAACCCTTCTGGAAAAATGGGACCTCGGACCTCCCCCCCCCTCTCAGGAGTCTTTGCGGGACCCCAGGTCGAGAAAGGCAACACACTTCCCGCCTTTCCCCGTGCTTTTCCTTTGTGTGACCGGACACCGGAGGCGCCCCAAGCTTCATCTCCCGTAGAATCTGTTGCTCCAATCGGCTGAATCCAAGGCCTCCATGGGCACACGGTCACAGTGAAGCTGAAGAACCAGCAGATCTGGGAGGGCACCTTCCACGCCTGCTCCAGCGAAGGCGGGCGGCTCGTTTTTTTGTTTTTCTCCTTTTTTCTCGGGTCTCCGGTGAGAGCCGAGTGAAGGAGCTTTCTCGAGAGGAGCGAGCCGACGCAAAGGGATTGGTCCGCAGAAAGTGGCAACTTGCCAATTCCGTGTTTTTTCCTCATACTTTTTCGTTCTTTTGCGGTGAGGCACATTTTTTAGAGTCCCTTAGGCACATCTTTTAGCGGATTGACACTTGGACTTGGGGACCCAGAAAGGGACGAACATGTCTTAGAAAGGTGTCACCAACTTGGGGATGGTTTTGGGATGTTGTAAGACCTCCAGGACTGGGTGAACCAAGCCCTGCCTATGAGCATCCTCTTGCGACCCAAGCGGGCCCCTGTTTGAACCAAGCCGCGGGTAACAGTTTTTACCTGGGAAGTGCCCTTTATTGAAACCCCGGCTCAGCCTTTCGGTTCTGCCTCGTGGCATCCAGCGCTTCTCAGATGTTGGTAAGAAGCAAAATCAGGTATGCTCTTCCTGGTTGGCTCTCAGTCGCCCGGCTGACCTGAAGCTCCCAAACTCCGGCAGATGTCGTCCAAATCGCCTCGACCTTTGGTTTCCTCGTTCGGCGGGTGCGCTGCGTCCGCAAGCTCGCAGGTGACATCGCCATCACCCTGAAGTCTGCGAGACAAGTTCCCACTGGACGTGGGAAGAGTGGGGAGGCGCCGTCGGGTCGTCGGGTGGGACGTGGCCACCATCTCCTTCCCCTCCGTTTGCGAACCCTGCGAAAAATGGTGACGAGGTAAAAAAAAAACACCTGAGCCCTTTGTGTGGGGCCGTCGTTTTTGGGGTTCACTTTGACCCCAAGGCTCGGACCCGGCCGAGAGCCGAGAGCCGAGAGCCCGTTCTCGGCTGTGATGTTGTGCACATAGCTGAGCAACTCAACCTGGGACGTTTGCTCAAGCTGTTTTGTTGCACTCTTTGGTGTTTGAGGCCTGTCCAATGTGTACTTATGTGGCTATGAGTTTACACACAACTCTGCAACATACTGATGTCCAAAACGGAAGTGGAAGCTCAGCGCCATGCCCCCGCCGCCAATTTTTTGGTTGACTCAAACTTAGTTTCAAGAACGGCAATGGCTTCCTTGTGGTTTGCCTTCCCAGCTCTGAGGGTCCCCACAAACGGACCGTGAGCTTTCAAAGGGGATGTCACCTAAAGTGGCGTTGGGTTTTTTCAGGTCTAGGCACATGCCAGATCAAAGTGTGAGAATTGGGAAGTTGCTGCGCGCTTTCTTCTTGGTCTCCGCAAGAACAAACACGGGCCGCGATTTTGCTCGTGGAAGGGAGTCAGGGGTAGGGCTTGGACAACTTGCCGAGTCCGGTTTCCTCAAGTGTGGCATGGAGCCCAAACTTGTGACAGTCGAAAGCCGTTGTTTTGCTCCGAGGGACTGACCCAGGCGCACCGGTCCAGGTTTCCGTCCAGCCGGGTTCGGCCTCCGAAAACGCCGCCGTGGCCTGTGCTTGCCGTGCTTGCAGGTGGTAGAGACCATGGTGATCGAAGGGAAGGACTTCATGCAGGCAGGGGGACCAGGGTGCCAGGGGGGGTTTGGAGGGAGGTTTGGGGGTGGGAGGAGCTGGGACCTCTTAAGAAAATGACGACACCATTTTGGGTTTTTAGACTGACTAAAACACAAAGGTTTCCAGAATCCAGGCATTTGGCTGCAAAGAGGGATAAGTTTCTAGTGGAATCTCTGGTTGTTGGATGGTTTCTCTTTAGACAGCTCAACGTGGCTGAGAATGCTTTCGGGGGCGAGTGAGGGGTTCGATTGCCCACCCAACTTCACTGCTGCGCTCTGCCTTCTGGCCAAAGGCCGATTTCAGAACACTTTGGCAAGACTCTGCCGCCAAATTCCCTTCGGCCAAACAGACAAAAAAAACATGGCCAAGGAAATCTTTGCATAGGACCAACAGGATTTGAGACCATTGCACCTCAGCCCCGTACTTCAACTTTGGCCCCCTCAAAACATTCGAACCGCAACTGGGAAAGTCCTCTTTGTGTGAGCGTTGTTGTCCAAATATGGATTTGCGCGCGCCGGAAAGGTAGCGATAGCTAACCTGGAGATCTTTCTTGCTTTAGCAAGTCAGGTTCTCAATAATTTGAATTCGGCATGAACATATTGATAAATCCCCCCCCCCCCACCCCCCCGGGAAGGGTTCGACTCCGCTCTGGTCCGCGTTTGGACCGGCTTTTTTCTCAGAGTCAACCTGTTGGGGAAAGTGGTTTGCAGGACGCGGGAATGTGTTCAAAATGAGTTCCGAGGTGAGATGGGATTCTTCCATGTGATAGCTATCCTGGAGTTTTTTGTTGCTTTAGCATTTTGGCTCGCCCGTGTGGTGCGGCCTACTCCGATTGGCTTCTTGGTTGGCTCTTCTTTGCTTTTCTCCGGGTGAAGCTGGCCCTTCCATAGGGACGGTCTGTAATGAACCGGTGGCATAGAAAGGCTAAAGAGCACAAGTGCTCGCGGCTAAAGAGCACAACAAGGCAGTAAACCTGTCCCTTTCAGAAATTTGACAGGTGAACCAAGTGCACGTCCAGCGTTGCGCAGAGGTTGGCTCAGTCAGTTGTCCCTCAAGGCCACAAGTTGGACGACAAATTTAGTGGTGGTTGCTCTAAATGTTCATCATCCACCTTCCCGCATGCATGCCAACTCAAGGGTTTAGAACTTGTTGCGAGGATGAGAACAGGGCTCTCTTTTGCTTCCCTTTAGCTTAGGTTCTATTACCTGGCAAGGGCCTCATTTCTCCCCGTTGGAATATATATATATATATTTATATATAAAATTTGACATTTGCGTGTTTTTGTGAGTTTCCCTTGGCAGGGAGGGTGTTTTCGGGGAATCGTATGGTCTTTGGGGTTCCTACGCCGGAACCTTTTTCTGAGAAACCAACTCGAAGAGGTCTCTGCGCAGAACGTGCCGCCCGCAGAGCCGAAGCTGGGGCCCCGAAGCCGCCGCCGAGTGCTGGTGGGGCCCTGGATGGTTTCCGAGCCATTTTTGTAGGGGTACCTTCCATGTCCATTCTTTCCGGGGTTCCTTCTTTTCAGGACACATCAAAAACTCAGGGTGGTCCGGTTTTTGAAAAGAACGATGGTTGAAAAAAATGGTTGGAATCAACCCCTGGAATTTCCCTTGGCGGAACCTCCAAGAATGGCAGTGTCAAGGGAAGCCACCAGTAAATTGATCAACTTTTCAAGGGAACATCCTGCGACCCCGAAAAGGGTGGGTTACTTTTGGTTTCCGAAATTCCCACTTCAAACGCAAAGGGGGGGCCCCTTTTGGCTAGCTGCTGGGAAGACTCGATGGATACCCGGCACATGGTTGTGGACACATTTAGTTTCTGGATCGTCACAGAATCTGTGAGTGGCCAAAGGAATGAATGCCATTTCTAGTGAAGAGCCGGCACCCATTTTCCACCACAGGTGTGTCTTTCCCCGCCTGTTCTTTTCTTTTCGGGGGGGGGCCCAGTAGGGCTCTCAGACCAGCAGTCGGAATATTCAGGCCAGTCGCAAGGGGCAGCCATATGAGGGATGTTGCCTTAGTGGTCCTTAATGGCCCAGAAAAAAGAAGGCGACACTGATGGCCTCTAGGTTGTAACATCTTCTCTTAAGGCTCTGAAACTATTTAGCTCTGAATGTCAATGAGGAACACCCTCCCAAATGGTTAGTGGGCACAAAACTCAACCTAAGCCTGAACGATGTCCACTGAATCCCCAAATGACATTCACACCCATACTGTCGATGGACGAAATCCTGCACCTCCCAAGAAACCCTGGAAGGATTCCAGTATTTTTCCTGTAAATGCCCTAACAAACCATGGTTGCAATGTTTTCAGTTCCTGCAAAATGGGTTTGTGCATCTGCCGAGGTCCAACTCCTTCAAGACTGATGGCGAGATAGCCGGCAGCTCAGGCTAAGGCGCCAGAGGTCCGGCGACGATGCAAATGGTCCCTGATTTAAATTGTTAATCCCCCAAAAATGGACCCCACCGCGGTTTCTACCAGCCCAGTGTTCCAAGCTTCCACTTTGGTGTGTCCGAACTCGCTCCGAGGCCGAGTCCTGGGGCGAGGGCCGAAGCCGGGAGCTGGTGGCGTGGACCGACCGCCAGGCGCTCGCTCGCTCGAGGCGTTTTTCCTCCAAACCAAACAACGGGTGGGTGGGGGAAACAGGGGGACCTTGCCGCAAATTCCCAGGGTTTGATGTTGGCAACTTGTATTTTTCTTTCAGGGGGAAGATCCGCCAGCCTGTTCACAGGTCAAGTTTTCGTTTTTGGGGGGACTCGGAATGCCTGCCCCGCAAAAGTGGCCAGCTGGCCGGCTTTTCCCCCGATGTCCTGGCAGGCCGCATCAATGAACCTTCAGGTGTGCAACCCCCACCTCTGCGGAGCTATAGGAATCCTGCGACGCCTTTTTTTCGATTCCCTTGGCGTTCACCTGAGTCGCCCGCCTTCTCGGCCTTCTTTGGAGGTTTCTCGGCTGTCGGAGCCTTTTTGAAGGTTGGCAGGGAAGCCCAAGTAAACCTGCAAGGAGCTCCATTGAGTCGTTTGGTGTATGAGTTCTAAGTTTCTGCTGCCCAAAGTGGCCACTTTGAATCATTCTCAATACAGTCAAATATGGGAGTGTCAAAAGATTTGTGCGGGGACCCCAAAATGGGTGTTCCTTTTGGTTTCCCTTTCCGAGCACAAAAAAGGTGGGGCTCCCTCACACCCATATGGGTATGGGTGGCACCAGGATATGAATCAACCGCAGGTTTTCGTGGTTGGCTTCCAAAAACGCAGGGCAACCCATGTCAGAGACCCATTTTTGACCCGCCATCTACGAAGCGGTCCGGCGGCCGGATGCTTCGCGGGAGCAGGCCGCGGCGCCCGCTGGAGTGAACCTCCAGCTGGAGTCGAGTCGACAGATCGGGGCGACCCGGGCTCGCTTGCCGAGGGGCTGGGGCTTGGGTAGCCAACCAGAGCCTTCCTTTGGCGGTTTTTGAATGGTAAGCTTCGTGGCCTTTGAGGATACCCTTTGGTTGAGGGTTGCTTTAGGGGAAGCGAAGAGGAAGCATTTGTGGGGAACCTGAAAAAAGTCACATTCACAGGTTTGTTTCGCCCCTTGGGGCCACCTTGGGACCTTTGAATGTGAAGGGATTGGGTTTGGGTAGCCCGACACCCGCTTGCCCGGGCTTGGGCTTGCCTGAGATGGGCCTAGCACCTACGCTCTTTCTGGGACAGGGCCGTGTTTTTTTTTTTGAGGGGGGAGGGTACCCTTTCCACGTTGGCCAAAGGGAAGCCAAAAGGAAGACCCGGGGTAAAGGTCCCCACGATTTTGACGTATGCCCATACTGTTTTTAGGTGATGCTGTTACTTGCGCGCTGCTGCTTTTGATGGCATCCATTCTGGGAGGTTACCAATGTAGATTTGCTTTTTTTTTTTCTGGCTGGTCAAAAATCAGGTAACCCCAAAATGGGTTGCCCTGGTAACTGGACGCATGGACTTGAACCTGCGATCCTGTGGTTTCATTTTGACCCCACCCCCAGATATTTCTTGGTGGCCGATTTGAGGCCAGAAGGTGAGAGCAGGTAAGAGCGTTTCCCGGGCGTATCCGATCCGCGGTCCTGGCCGATGTTTGCTGTTTGCTCCTTTTGCATGATGCCACGAGTGGCTTGCCTCATAGGCGACCCTTGGGGTCCTTGGCGTGACGTTTTTCGAGAAGAACCGCAGGAGACAACTCCCAGGTCCCTTCTCTTTCGGCGATTCTCGATTCGTAAAGTCGGGATCAGTGGTTGCCTCCTGCTTCCAAGGCCGTTCGAAGTCCTGGTTTTGCCCATTCAGCCACGGGCGGTTCTGACTGCACGGCCCATTTTAGGAAATTGAAACCCAAAGCCCAAGATAGTTGCGGCGAGTTATAAGAAGCGGTGACCGAAGCCGGCCTTTCGGAAGGATTTGTATACAAAGGAAATTCACAACATAACCATTGCTTGGTGTTTTTATTTGCAGCCACATGAAGGTTCTTGTACACCTCACCACACTCCCCATTGAACCACAACTAGCCCAGATCCAAGCGGCAAAGTCCAAAGACTTGACTGACGAGATGGACATCCACCTCTCATCAGCCTCCTTTTCAGGTTGCGCCATTTGGGTATGGGTCAAAAGTGTAGCGCAGGTTATAGTTCTGGTTTCCATTTTCCAGGGTTCTATTCTCGGTACCTGTTCTTGGCCAACACCCATTTGATGGATTTGTTCCTTCACTTTTCCCGCCGCCATCCTTGCTCGTTTCCGAGAATACGCCACTCTCCAGGGCTCGGTCTTAGTCACTCCCCCGGACCAAAAAAGACTCGGCGGGCCCAAGCGTCTCATCTTGGTGCTCAGCAGAGAATGAGGGAATGGACCTGGGATTCCCTTGAAGGCTTATAGGAAACCACATCGGGGATGGTTTCTCTCGGACTCATATTCCAATTCTCAGGGCTCCGGCCGAGTCCGCAATCGAAAGTGGCCAGACTTGGAACCAGTTTGAAATCAACGAGACGCAGTTCGGCGTCAAGAGCACCTACTCCGAGGCTCTCGCTGAGAGAGGGGAGACTGGCACGCCGCTCGCGGGGTGTTTCTTTTCTTGTTTCTTCTTGTTTTTCTTCTTCAGGGTCAGAAAGACCTCTGTTTGCCAGACCTTTGGGGACAATTTTTGAATCAACCCTTGGTTCAGCGTGTCTTTTAAACGGAAGGGGGTGTTTTTTTTTTGTTTTTTTAACATCCAGAAAATGCGTCCGTGGCCACAAGTCGAGGAGTTCATGGGGAGCACTTCGAGGGCAACGGGTGTTTTCTGTGAGTACACAGACATAGGTGTCCTTTTTAGGTGAGCCTGGTTAAGAATAGATGGGTTCCACTGGTTTAGATGGGTTTTGTTCCATCAGGGACACCCGAATCTATTTTTTTTCCAAAAGGCCACCTGACACAAAACCTGCTTGCGAACAGACACACTTCGCAGGTTCGGAGTTGACATTCCTTTCGCGCTGAGATGGAACCTGCTCCCCTTCTTCGGGGGCCGAGTGCTTGCCAGACCTGTGACTTTCCCGGCGACTTGTTGGATTTCCTTTCGGGAAGAAGCGGGGCATGGGACCATTTCGTGGATGTCGTCTGTGCTTGAAGGTACACCCCTCTGGTTCTGGATCCGAGAGGAGCCTGTTGTCTCGCCTGAATCCAAAGCTCATGGTCACTGATGAGCAAAACACGCCCGCTCGTCGTTTACTTGTTCAGAGAGGCCCTTCTTGGTCGCGATTCCTTCCTCCCAGAGGGACAGTCAACAGTCATTCTTAACCCTCCGAAGTACCTGTAGATACTCATTTGATGGCCATTGCACCATTTCTACAGATGCAACAAGGTGGTACTTGGTTGGACATGCTTGAGCACAGGGTTGGGGTTCTCCAATAGCACCGACCAGTCTTTTGCCCTTTTGCTGCGTGAGAAAACAATCATGCCAAGGCCAGTTCCTCCAGTTCTTCTTTTTCTACTCGTTTGCCATTCGCCTGAGACATCAGCTTGGGAGTGAGCATATATGGTTTTTTGCGTTTTGTCGGTGCGGTTCCATTTGAGTGCCGCTTTCTATGGCGCCTATCCTAGGAACCCTTCTGGTGCCAGGATTTGTACACTACCAAGCTGGACCCCAGCAAGATCCCGGAGCAGAGGCGGAAAGATGCCGGGCTCCCAGCCTTTCGTTGCGACGTGAGAGGTGACTTGGGGTCCGTCCGTCAGGTCAGTCAGTGGAACCTGGGGACAACACCCATTGAGGGGGACTTGCGTAGTGCTGCTTTCAGCAGAGAGTTGGGCGGTTGGCATTAGCAAAGCAGGGTTCGGCGCAGGCATTGCTCGGCATGTTGTGTTTTGGGTCCTTTTGCGTGGGATGCCCTTGGCACGTGCACGGATGCTGGGCATTCTGGGCAGAAACAAGCGATGGAAGTGGAGCTTGACTTCACCTCGCGGCTTGCCTTTGCGGGCAACGTCCAACAACTGAGGATAGCTTGGCAACTTCTAGATAGGCGGACACCGGGGTCATTGTCCTAAACGCTAACACTCGGGGAGTGACGTGAATGGGAATCCGAAACAACCGGCAAAAGAGGTCCCAGCATTGACTGAGTAGGGGCGTGCGGTGGTCATTAGGGGAGTAGCCGGCAAGCAAGGGGCAAGTTGGGGGTAAGTAGGGGAAGCTGGTTCGGGATGTGTGCAGAACCGGAATTCCATTTTTCGACTTCTGCGAGATAGAGATTTTACCCAGATTGTCCGTGTTGGGACATCAACCACCGCTGGATTTAAGTCTACCTTGGAGTGGTCAAAGAATGGAAACTGCTCAGAGAACTGCTCCCCTCAGCTTTCGCTCCAGCCCCAGGCCGACCGCATCGCCCGCGAGATTGAGAGCGGGCAGATGCTCGGCTCGAAAACTTCCAGAGGGAAGGCAGTTGGGTTTGCCTCAAAATAGGGGAACCCCTAAAATGGTTGGTTTTCGTGGAACCCTAAAAATGGTTGGTTTTCATTTGGTGTCCCTTGGACTTAACCCCACAAGTTGTACCATGAAAGCATCAATAGTGAGACCGAAAGCAGGGCCCGCTCCAAAATAGGTGCCGTTGGTTGCCGTTCCTGTCGAAATGAATCAGGATCATGTGCATGCGGATGCATTCACAAAGGGAATGTACCGCATCTCGATTCAGGCTTAATCCATTACAACTAGGCCCTTTGGAGACCAAGGGTTGGGCCCAAAGGCTTTGGGGGCGGGTTTGTAACCCCACATTGAATGAAAAGGAACAAGAACGCTCTTCTTCGGCCGATCTTTGACAAGTATACGCTTTGTTTTTTGTTGAGGCTGCAAAACTCCAAACTTGTAAAGCCAGTGGTCACGCAGCTCAAGCCAAAAGATAGCTCTTTTGATTGTTAGCTGACAAGGACGGGCCATTGGGCGCACATTTGGCTACATTCGCCCCATGTTTTGAATTCCGTTTCTCTCCACTGGCTTCCGTGTTAAGGGTAAAAAGGATTCTTCACGGACAAAAGGGGAAGCACAACTCTGGCGGAAGAATGGTGCCATGGTGTTTTGGTAATATTGTTTCTTCCAAATCATGCACAGGAGCACCACCCTGCAGGTAGCATTCGCGCCAGCCAAATCCTGCGAGCAATCAAATCTGGTCATTTGTAGTGAGATCAGGCCTTGCAGCGGGAAACTAAGAGGCTTAGTTGCGGGCTTGGAGCCAAAGGCCAGGGGCTGCTTTCCGTTTCCTTTTTTGATCTTAGAACGCGGCCGCGTCTCCTTTGTCCATAAAAGCCGCGCGGTCCAGGTTTTTGGGCCCCGAGCTCCTTCCGCGGGAGTCGGATGTTCGGCGTCGCGCGAGGGGCGCCGTCGCTCGAGCGAAGGAATTACAGCAGAATAGAAGAGGGCGTGGCCGACGCCGGGGAGCCTCAGATCCGATCCGAGAGCCGATAGGGGATCCGAACCGCGACCTGGAGCCTCCGAAAAACCCGTTGAGTATGGGGAAATTGGAGATAGGAAGCAGGATCTGAAGATGAGCCGGATTTTGGTTGGGACTTCCGACGAAACACGAGGGCTCCTCTCTAGCTCGAAGTTTCGACAGCTTCAAAGGGCTCCAGCCCCCTTCTTATCAAGGTTGGAGGTGCTTCCAGAGGTCCTGGGGTTGTGAGCACTCTTCTTTTTGTTTGGTTTCTTTTTTCACCATTGGTCTTGTTCTGTTCATAGTTTGGACGCGCTGTGGATGGGCGAAATCCTGCACCACCTAAGAAGCCCTGGAATGATGATTCCCCTGTAAATACCAACAAACAGTGGTTTCCCCAACCAATTTAACCACTTGGCTTGAGCTCGCAGCCCTTTACACAGCCGCGCAGTGCTTTGTTCTGCCAGGGGGAAACTGCCAAGAAACCATGGGAACCTAGGCTTAAGCAGAACCCTGTGATATAAAAGTTCCAGGAATCCCATTGAGGAGAGAATCCAGATCACGTTGGACAACAATAGCACCTGGTTGATTCATAGCTGGGCGTTTTCCCAGTTCAATCTGGGCTTTCCCAGTTTTGAACTGGGAAAACGCCCCCAGAAAGCGGTGGAGAAATCATGTGAACGAGGACAAATGGGTCGCTGAGCGACGGGGCCAAAGAGGGTGTTGAAGTGGAAGATGAAACGGTGGAATATTACTTTGGCTCATTATTTTCTGTTGACTTAAGTCTTGTTATTTGCCGATGAAAGGCATTTCTAGGCCCCGACCTTTTCGGGGTCGACCCATTTTTTGATCTAGGATGTGGACGAGGAGGCGCAGTTTAGTGCCGTGGCGTCCCACTCTCGGGCCGGGGGCCCCGCGAAGCGAGCGAGAGAGATGGGCTGGCGTTTGGGATGGTGTGTTTTCTTGGGCTCGGAGAAAGAGAAGCCCGCAAAAAGAGATCCACCAAAATTCTGGCCCGCAAAAGGACACATGCCGAAAGATAGGAAGGAAGTGTCGAGGGAGAGCACGAAAAGGATGCGAGGGATAGGAGTCCGGAAGGCAGGTCGAATGAGGGAAAGAAGTCCTGGGAGGAGAGCCTCAAGACATCCAGTTCGATCGTCTCAAGCAAGAGGTTTGCCAAACCTCGTGTCATGATTCCCATGGGTGTACTACTCTGAAGTGGGCCCCTAAGCTGGTTTCTGGGACGCCAGAACCCCCTTGCTTGCCATAAACAATATATATATATATATATATATAATATGTAGTATTTAGGGATATGTGCACACAGACACACACACAAATGTTCGTCTTTCAGGCTATGTGTATTTTCATATGCATTCATCGGCCAGCTTTCGGGATCAGATACTGGATTGCCATTTTTTTGCGCGCCGAGGCGAGCGGTGCCGAGTCTTGGCTGCTGATGGTCGTGATTGTGACGTGGTTTGCCCAAAAGGGTTTCCCCTTTGACCCCCCTTTTGTGGGAGATGTGTTTTTTTTTTTTTGACTTTGGGACCAGAAAAGGCGTACAAAAAGAAGGGATGAGGCTAGATTTGGGGCCAAACATGCATGCTTCACTAAGTATGAACTGGCTCACTCAGTGAAAGGCTCAATAACTATGGACTAGAGTCGAACATCTGATTTCCGGCTGGCAAAAGCTGAGATCGTTTCGGCTGGAAGTTGGCCGGGTCCTTCCAAGCGGGCCCCCCGAACACTTTCGCCGCTTTCTCGGCAAACTTCGGATACCTGGCTACAAAGGAAGGTAATCGGGCTCCTCCCCCCAGCAAAGCGTCAGTCCTCGATTTCGTGGGGGGGGGGTTCTGAAGGTGAGGCCGGGCACGGACTTCTCAGTCGTGGCTAAGTTTCATCAAGAATGCCGCGACCCAAATGGTGGGTGGACCAAACTGAATGACGGTCCCCAAATTAAGATTCAGTCCCGGACCACCTTTGGACATGTGATGTGGGTAGCAGATCTGTCTTTCTTCTGCCTGCCTGCGTGCTTGCCCGCCTGTCTATCTGCTGCCTGTCTGCCCGCCTGTCTGTGCCAACGGATTTTCCCTGTTTCTAGACCCAAAGGCCTTTGGAGAAAACCACTTCGAGGGGGGGGGGGGATGGGAACCAAAACGGTTTCGGGTGTTTTCCTGCCTTGCCGCGCTCAGGAGCCAATCCCCGCGCCCTTGACGATGGACCGGCAGTTTTTTGCGCTATCCGCGGATCAGTAGGGGAATGCATGTCAATTGATATTTCGAGTTGAAGGAGCATATGTACTGTACACACATATATACAGATACACATATATATATATATATATGTAATAGGTAATACGCATAGGTTTGGATATGTACAGTATGTCATGTCTTGTTTGCCACATATCAACAAGCACATGGGCAAACACAAGGTCTACACAATTGTTTGTCGTTGGGTTTAAAGGGATATTGTCATGACTGGTAAGCATGCTAGGCTTTCTTGTGGGCCTAGACTAACCAGTTGCTAAGTTTGCTTTGGAGACCAGCCCTGGTACCCCCGAAAGACCCTTCCATTCTTGACTCTCCTTTTCCGGAAATGGACCCCTTGCTTGGGGGTGCATGTAAATCTGCCGGAGGTTCGATTCGGATGTCGAGCTTTGCCTGATATTTTTAACCGCTGTTGGGTTCCTCCAGTCATGTCGCGCAACCCAAACCCATGGGGAACCCCTTTTGGCAAACCCTTTCTTGGGGCTCCTCTTTCGGGAAGTTACGGTGCCTCGGCATACCCCGACACCTCCGCGAGCCAAGCGCGGAGCTCCGCCAAGCGGCGCAGGAGAACGTCTCCCAGCACGACGCCGCGTCGGCGGAGTTGCACCACGGGGACGCCGCTGCCTCTGCCGGGTGGGAGGAACTGATGCGGCGCTTTTTTCGCGGGCGAATGGGCGAAGGGCTGTTTGGGGGTTTGGGTCTGGGGGGTTTGGGGGGGATGCTTGAAGTAAACTGCCTGGACAATACCCCAATACCCTGAGAAAAAGGGGGACTTGACCCCCAGGATTTTGGCCCAATTTGTTCGTAGTTGGATTGGGATGTCCGACCTACTTCTTCTCCTGCGCTTTAAGATGGAAGCTGCAGAACCCTTGTCACTAGAGGAATCTCTTTGGGGCCTCTTCAGGTTCCATGTTCATTTGCAGGCCGTGCTTCCAAGTCAATTCTCCCCTTTGGATTCACTTCAAACCTTGCAAAAGCTTGCGCACTAAGAAGGTGAACACGTGGTTGTGCGTGTTTTGGGTTTGGGTGTTTTATGGGTTTTGAGAGTTTCGGAAGGTTGGAGGTTTTGGACGTTTTTGGGCCTTTGGGGTCTGGGGTGGTTTAGGAGTTGTGGGTCCTTGTCTCCACAGGAGTTGGTGGTCCGAGCCCTTCTCGCCCCTTGTAAGAAGATGTCTATGATCCCCTCTTGGGTTGGGCGGCCATAGGGTTTTCCCCTCAGCAAGGGGCGTGGTTTTCGCATGTGGTGACCTCGGGGGATGTGTGTTCCTTTCTTGAAGGCGTCCTCAGAGATTTTGTTCTGGGCTTTCATTGGAGGCCAATGTCGCTCGGCTGGTGTCTTGATGCAATTTGAAGGGGGCAGGTAAGGCGCCAAGTTTTTTTTTGCGGATCCCTTTTTTCCCCCTTTTTTTTAAAGGTTTGTGAATGATCATAGCTACCTGCGGTCTTTGGAAGCGTTCCGTTGCAGTGGTCCTTAGATTTGGCATCATGGCCTCGGCGTCCTTGAGCGCCACTTGGGTGTACTCCACGTGATAGGCCATGGTTGTAGCTGGGACAGAGAGCCTGACCACCATTGGCACTCACTGACCCACCGACTCATTGACCAACTGACTTTCGGTTTGCCTTTTGATCTCTGCAAACGATCAGTTTTTCGGCTTCCGGTCAAACCGGCAGAACCTGCAAATTTGATTTCAGTTGAGAAAGGCTGAGCTAGGAAAGGTTGACCAGCCCCAAAGTCTAGCAGGTCTTGAAGTGGTCCTCTCAGGCGATTTGTTGGGTGGTTTAAAGGGAATTCCTCTTTGGGGGGGGTGGGGCGAGGGATACAAGGGTGACCCCGTTCCCCTCCAAGAGTGGTCTGAATCCCGCAAGGGGACCCCATCCGAGATCCAAATCAGCCGGGCATTGTCCTAAACAACTGGGGTTTACAACTTCCTGGGGGTTCAAATGCGGCGCCCCCTCTGCCAAAAAAAAAGGCCCACCCCCAGTTCCTACAAAGAACCTTAGTCCCAACCCCAGCCACCAGCAAGCCACCCGCCAGCTCCAATCCGAATCCCCACCCTCCCCCCCGCTGCCACTCCCCAGCGCCAGAAAGACGAGACCCGGCGCCCAGGGCTTCGCCCGAGAGCACCGGGCCAAGCGCTACATGATCACCGCGCACTCCTCGGGGCCCTTGGCCTCAGACGGCGAGAGGGGAAATGCCCCCGCGGTTTCAGCCTGGGGATGGACCATGTATTATATATATATAAACATGTGTATATATATATATATACACATGTATACATATATGTGCTATATATGGATATATACAAATCCCGTCAGCTTCTCTTGGGGCTTTTTTTTTTCCGGTGGGGAGGGGGGGGGGGTTACCGTACATACATATATATATATATACACACTACATATATATATATATAGACATATGCATATACATATGTAGAGATATAATAGATGTATGCCCTGAAGAAGGAATCCACACCGAGCAGATCCTGCGTGTCCACCATAGTTTGGAGTCAGCTGGAACCGAAAGTCTCGTCGGATGCCATCTTGGATTTCAATAAAAACCAAGATGACACCCAGCATTTTGGGGTTCCCCCATCTTAAGACACACCCAAGTCTTCAATTTGGATTCAGAGCCATAGGGGGAGCATTGTTCATGGCTCGTAGTCACTCACAGTCACTACTAGTCACGCATCGTCTCATGCGGCTGCCATGGCTTCCCTTGCCATGGCGCTGAAGCAGTGCATGACGCAAGCCGAGGATTTCAGCAAAAGGGACATGCCAAATGCCTGCCAGCTAAAACCCAGACCGGTGGCGCCCTTTTCCTGAGTTTTGGGGTGGGTTTCCCTAAGAGATCAACACCTAAAAGTGCAGGGTCTCCTCTGTTTACCCTGGAAGTCACCGGAGGTCTGGACGAATTGGCTGTCTGCCTGCCTGGCTGCCTGTCTGCCAGCCTTGAGGCGTACTCCTCAGCTCTCCGAGATGAAGAGCATCAACGCCTTGAATTTGGAGCCGCGACCTCGGGAGAAGTCGACAAGTCGAGGGAATGTCGAGAGATGTTGGGAAGTGCCGAGATGGTGGTGTGTGTGTGTGTGTGTGTGTGTGTGTGTGTGTGTGTGTGTGTGTGTGTGTGTGTGTGTGGGGGTGTGGGTGGGTGGGTGTGGGTGGGTTCTGTTTTTTAATTGCGTTGGGCCGTCCTCTTCAGCAGTGTTTGTCCTCACCCAACTCGCAACAAGAACTTCCGCTTGCCAAAGGCTGCGAAGGATGTGACTGTGTGGGAAAAATGGTGGTTTTCCGGCCGGTTTCCCTTTGAAACCACGAATAGAGGGTGCACACCAATTTCAAGACAAAACCAAGAATGTTCTTTCTCTTGGATTGAAAGGCACTGGCCCTGACTGGTTTCCATGTTAGTTGGCCTGTGGCATCTTATGGGAGTTGATTGCCGAGGTTTCTTCAAACGACAAGGATGCCCACTAAACAGTGACCTCCTTGCTGCGGGTGGACGAAATCCGGCACCACTTGGGATAGAGGAGCTTCTTCATTCTGGGTAGACAGTCAAGAGGTGGCCAAAGGAACCAGAGCATACCTTATGCACTTTTGCCAAAAAGGCAAGGATTGAACACTGGCACTAGAGGTGCGCAGGCCCCCCAAATGTTGGTTGTCCTTTTGGCTTACCTTTAAGCCAACCTGAACTAGGTCCCCGCCACAAACGCAGACTCCCAAATTCGATTTGTTGGAACATGTGGGTTCGACTGGGAGACGTTTATGCGATTTCTCCCGTGCGCTTCTCGGTGTCCTAGCGAATGTCTTGGGATTCCCGAAATCGCTGGCTTCCCTCGAATCTGCGAGGAGTCACGGCCCATCTTTCTTCCATTTATTAAAACAAGCTCCTCGTTTTTCTTCTCGCGGCCCCGCGCGTCATCTCGGCGTCCGCCTTCAGGACTTCCGCTCGCTCGCTCCCATCCCGGCGGCCCGGGGTTTTGAGTTTCCTCGGCAGGCCGGCCCTGCCCAAGTTCGACGACAAGACGCGATCGGACTGGATCAACTTCAAGCAGTCGCGGGCCCGGCAGGCATCGCACCTCGCGCCTCGCGGGGCGGAAGGAGGTCCGGCGAAACGCGGCCTCGGGGTTGGGAGGGATTCGGAATCCGGGAAGATTTGGTTGCCAAGGTTGACCCCGGATTGCATGGACTTGTTGGATTGAACCGTTTTTGTTAATAAAGCTGGCGACTGCAGGGCTGTTGTTGAATGAGGTTCGACTTTGTTGTTTTGGAACCGCTTCCCCCTCTTAAGTGAATATTTTAGTAGGTCACTGGAATGCGTTTCCCATGGTGTCCCAGAGGTTGAAATTCCCGAACGTTTGGCAAGTGCTCTTGGTTATGGGATTGGCCGGAAGAATTTGGCAAGCACATGCGGCCGAACCCCACAACGGAGGGTCCGAGCATTTGGCCACCCACTAAACCTTGGGCGCAGGGTCAGACCCTGCTGGGTGTCCGTCGGGTGGTTATCCATCAGCTGGCGGCTTCAAAGACATCTCCTGGCATAAGCGTGTTCATCTCAAAACAAGGGCTCCCATCGGGTTGCCCAAAAGGATGCAGAAAACGGTAGTGGGTTGGTGTCCCTTGAGTTCCCCTCTTGTCTCCAAGAAAAGGAGGTTCCCTCGCAAAAGGCGCACTCATGTCCCTTACAGTTGTACCCCAGGCAAGCCTTGAACTGTTCACCGACTTGCAGCCATCGAAAAATGAATCCTTCCATTGGGGGCAGTTGGATTCCAGTTGGATGAAACTGATTGGATGCCCTTCCCTTTAAGGGAGGTCTGTTCCTGGATTAGTTCATTCACTTGGGAGGGCTTCAACACTACAGGTCCCTTGCCACCCGGAAATGGTCCAAGGTTGAAAAGGCGTCAAGTCTTTGGCTCAGCCCCTTGCGAAGGGACTCCGATCAGCTTTTCGGTTGACGTTTCAACCAAGGCTTGTTTGGTTGTTCCACAAGGGAAGCCGGCGCTTTTAAGGGGGAAACAAAAGGCAAACCAAAGGAAACTTATTGGAACCTGAACCATCCCCCCCCCCCCTCCCCACAATCTTTGGGCACAGCCCACTAAGAGACAAATCCGCCTTTGTTTCAACCTAGCTCACCCCTCGTATGGTTCTACAGGGAAGCCAAAAGGACGCCACCTGCCTCACTGGCCAGGGCCAGCCGCCCACCACCCGGGATGAGCTGCACCAGTCCTTGCAGGCCCCGAGGGCTCGCCGGTAGGGCAGTTTTTTTCGCCGTTTCGCCGCCTGGGCCTTCAGCCCGCAGGAAGTTTTGGCCGAACACGAGGTCCCAGGTTTCTTTGGCCGGGATCTTTCGGGCAAAAGGCGGGCGCAACACAAGGGATCTTTCGGCTGAAAACAAGAACATGTTGGATGCGCATCCAGTCGGTTTTTCTTTGGTGCGTCCGCTGTTTCCTGTGTGTGGCCGTTTGCAGCAGCATAGTGTGCCATTGGGTGCAAGAAACCAATTCACTTGTTGGAACTTGTGATCCGGCCGGCTTCCGCTCGCTCGCGCAACATGAGAATTGGCGTCCAAACTTGGGAGGATCATTCGACGAGAGAAAAAGCCGCCAGATCGCCGAATGGAAACGTTGCCGGTGTAGATTCTGGATGAAATGATCAGAGGTATTTAACCACTCATCCAGTTTTTCTTCGCAGGGTTTGGGAGAAGTGGACACCAGTTGCCTTGACGCCTCGCATTTGTTGGACAAGCACTTGGGTGTTCGGCCACGTTAGTAAGTTGTTGGTAACCTATGTTATAACCCACTTATAGTGGGGTAAACCCAGGCATTCGCGGGTCATAAGCCAGGTGGCTAACCACTTACTATCTTGGCCGAACACCCAAGTAGGTTTTACTTGCCCAACGTTTGTTTTGCTTTCCGTCTGCTTTTAGTCATGGCAACCCGCAGGGTTGGCACCTGTTCCCCCTGGGCAAGTCGGATCTCAGTTCATCAACCCATATGTACCCTTTGAATTGGGGCTAAAAACGCTTCTTTTTCGGGGCATGCATTCATATCCATATATGTTTGTATACACACACACACTATATGTGGTATATAAGGGTATATCTTTGGGGCCGCTTTGACTTCGGAGAGTTGCACATTTTCAGGAAATGCGAGCCCCTAGACTTTCGGAAGCTAGACAGTCCGCTTTTTTTTTGGGCGGAAATGAATCCCTCTTTCCGCCAAATTCCGTTGAATATGTTTCTCCCTTTTTGATCAGCGCCCCTGTTTTACGACCCACCTTCTTCACGGTTCTTGGTGTGTTTCAATGGACATCACAAGGGCCCCCCTCTAGAAAATAATACAAGCGGGAGTTTTTCAAGACCAGCCTTGTAGGTCCTCTGAAAAAAGGGCACCCTTTTGATTGACCCCCCCCATTTCGACACAGACCCGCTTTGAGAGACTCCCTTCAGTTTGTCAGGCCTTTCAGCAGAAAGAGGGCGGTGGCAAGAAGCCATCGCCGGGGCCCAAGCAACAGATGGCTGGGACGGGTCGAAAGCGAGCACAGCTGAGGCGTAACTGATCCCTGCTTCCGGGACAGATGTGCGGATCCCTCCTGACTGGGGGGTCCAACATCATGACCCGATTCATTTTGAACCGCCAGGCTTCTTCTTGCTGGGCTGGGCTTGCACTCGAAAGGAGGGTCCAAAATGACGCCCATTGAAAACAGATCCGGGGAGCCAACAGTTTCTTGATCCTTGCAAGGATCAAAGCCCGAGGGCCTTGGCAAGCGGAGATGGCCAAACGAGTTCCTTTAGATGTTCTTTTGCGGGAAGGCGACCGCATTTTTGTTGTTGCATCCTTTGGGTGACATCAGCTCCACGGGGCCTCATGTCCACCCAGCAGTGTGGAGGGTATGTATTCCCATTAAAATGAACGGCCATGAACCGGTGAGCTCAGGGAGTGACTGGGATGTGCCCATTCTGACGGGTGCGCAAACTCGACAGCTGCGCGCTGTTTCGGTGGGAACTCACCCTTTTGTCCGCGGGAGGGGGTGCGGGAGTCTCACTTTGGTATCGGTATTACAGTGATGTCCCGCAGCCAATTCCCTCCCGCACGGTCAACGCAATCTGTGACTGGCCTGTGTCGCGATTGTACAACCGTCAAGTTGCAGGTGCGCGCATGGCGCTCCGCACGTCAAAGGTTTCGTGATGCAATCAATTGGGAAAATTAATCCACCAGAAAATCGCAGGTTGTAGTCTTGGTTGTCATTTACCTGGGGTTGCATTTTGGGTACCCATTTTTGACCCACACCCAATTCCTTGCTTGTGTTAGCGATTCTCCCGGTAGTTGCTCCACCTGGTGCGGACAGAAGTTGCGAGACACCTGCGCCTGGGTGGATGCATCGCCCGGGCAAAAAGCAAGTCAAACTCGAATACTTAGGAGTTGAAAACACACCTTCCCTCATGAAAACTGACAGAAGCTCCCTTAAAACAATGTCTTTTCTGCGGCGGCCTTTTTCAGGTGCCATGTTGCGATGGGAACCCAGGATGTATGAGTGATTTTTGAAACGGGGGTGTCAACGCGAAGGAAAATGGACAGATCACTTGTTGGGGGAGTTGCACCCGGCTAGCTACGTATTATCCTGGAAAGCAAGTGCCCATTTGCTGCTTTTCTGCAGGTAAGCCAGGGAACTTCAGCAGTTCATCAGGGTTCTCTCCGTTTGCCTCAGGGTTTCTTCCATTTTCAACGGTATCCAGTGACCCGCAGCTACACTTGTGGTTTCCGCGCCCAAAGCACCCGGAGAGTCTCGACTTCTTCAGCCCCCGAGGTCGGATGCCGGGCAGTCGCGCCTCGGACAAGTTCGACCGCGTCGAACGGTATCCTTTTTTTTTTTGCACAAAGGGAAAAGTGGTTTACACCAGGTGTAAGGACCTGCGCGCACATGCATGCAGAAGTGTTGCTGCTTTCTAGCTTTCTTTCAGCTTTCTGTTTTCTTTCTAGGTGTGTGTGTGTGTCTGTTTCATGCAAGGGGGCTTTCTGCTCGTCCAGCCGTGGAGCTCTTTAAACGAGTAAAGGCGATGAGCCGATTAAATCCACCAGCGAAACGGGAACGGGAGCTGTTTGGCGGCTTGGTACAGGAGCTTTTGAGTTATGTCTGCCTATTTTGTAGCGAGCTCACCGATCCGGGGGCATAGCGAGCTCACCATGATAAGGTCCGAAAACTTGGGGATCCCTGAATTTAGCTTTGCGATTTGTGCAGATTATGTGTTTAGAGCACCCCCTATTTTTTTGGATAGGAGTCGCTTGAAGGAAAGTCAAAGAAGAATCCTCTCCGTGGATGGGATATTTTAGTGGTCAACCAGGAGGCGAGCGACGGGAGTCGGTTGCGAGCGTCCTTTTTTCGAGGCAGAAGGCAAACTCATCTCTTCGCGGGGGTTGCGGGCACAACACCAAAACAGGATGTCCCATGCTTTCCCCCCCTTATTTTTCCATTGTGCCCTATTTTGCCCCCGGCTCCTTTGCGCATAGTGGCCAGGAACAGGTTTGGTGGCCCATAACACGTGTAATCCGGTCGGAACGAGCGGGCCGCGGGCTCGAAGCCGTCCAACTGGATAGCTTCGTGAGCCTTGAGGGCTGACTCGTTTCGGGGGGAAAAAACACAACTTGCGTTGGCACAAACTCACATGCTTTGCTGTTGAGAACCAATGCTTGTTTCGGTTTGTCCAATGCCATTGTTTTTCCAGGAAGTGAATCCAGTGACGAAACACAGGGCGCGGTCCAAAAACCGGGTTCCTGTCTTGTCGCATAAACACCCCCGCACGTGCTGTTGCTCCAAGACTCAAGCAGATGTTCAAAACTCAGGGGTGGAAAGATCGGTTTCTTTGTGTTCTTCCTCACCAGTGAACAACAAGCCGCCATTTTTGAAGGGGACTCCCCAAAATGGTCGGTTTTCCTCTTAAATCCCTGGGTCCGATGGGAGCTTGGCCATGTCGCACTGTGCCAATCTCTGCCGAGGAATCCTACCGGTGCCGGGCTCAGCCTTCCCTGTTTGGGTCTCCTAAGATGAGAAGACTAGACGTGGGAAAATAGAAAGTTTCATGGGGAACCCCCCCCCTTCCCCGCAAGATGCCTGTGGACATGGATCACCTAAATCGCCGTGGCTTTGGGTACCCTGCGCGAGGTTTCGAATTTACGCAAAGGCATGCCAAAACAAACCTGGCAATGCGTATGTGTTTCTTGAAGGCACCACTCCTAGAAAGAAATATAGGGACACCTGTTCCTGGTGGGATCGCGCGCGGCAAAGGACACCCTTTGTTGAAAGGGAAAAGGACATAAGAAGAGCAACCAGCCATCTTTAAGGGGGAGCGGAAGCTCAGAACGGAAGCTCGACTTTGCTAAAGTCAGGAGCCGAGGAAAGACTGGTGCACGCTTGAGAGGGCTTTTGAAAGGTCTCAAGCTGGAAGCTACTCTCCCTTGATTACATGTTATAGATTCAGCACCAGAAATGCAAATGGAGCTATGGGGTCCCAGCATGTTTCCGAGTTTTGGCGGTGAAGTGTGGTTTCCTTCTGTGATGTTTACAGCTTGGACGGATCGAAAATTCTGGAGAAGGGCGAATCAGTGCGGCCCGCTTCTTTTTTCGTGGACACCTTCGCGGGTCTAAGGAGCCCACGCCGATAACGCCTCGGCGGACGCGGAGCCGGGGCCCCGGCCAAGTCTGCGACACGCGTGAGGTTCAGGTCCCTCGGATTTCGATCACCCTTCCGTCCATGAACTTTGGCCCTCCGTTGATAAACTGATTGATCTTTTTTTGTTGTGTGGGGGGGGGGGGGGGTGGTCGCATTCTTGGATGGGGAAGCAACCCCCCCAATCCGCAGGGTGTTTTAATCTCCGCTTGAATTCACATGGGCTGGAGGCCGGGGCCCCAAGATGCCGAGGATGTCCGCTTCTTCAAGCGGGCCCACTGTGAAGCGCCTCCCTTAACAAATCGCACCTGTGGGAGGGCACCTGGACGATTCTATTTTCTGCTTGATGGGACCCCCTGCAACATGCCATCGCAACGTGGGAGTGTGGGGGTTGTGTTCAACAGGGCTCCTCAAAAGATACATTTTGCAACCATTTGAAGCATGGCTTTTTCCACCAAAATAAAGGGACACCACCATTACAAGGCAATGTTCAGGTGTATAATGCATCTGGATCCCTGTTCACAGGGAAAGGTCCCCCACCGCCAGATGCCCTTAAAGGAAGCGGACAGCGGTCGAAAGGCGCCAGTTTGGGTGTCTTGACGCGAGTGGGAGGGTTCTTAGACGTGTGTGTTTCATGTTTTTTCTTTTTCTTTCTTTTCCTTTTGTTTTTTTTTTGGGGGGGGGGCATGGGTTTGCGTGTTGAGGAAACACAAAGGTAGTTTCCCTTTGGTTCTCCTTTCACCCACGGGTGCCGTGCCTCGAAGAAAGAGACGCGCATGTGAAACTCAAGGGAACTGAGTTCTCTTCATTGACTACCCCAAGGTCGACTTAAACCGATTGCCCCAAAAGGCGAACCCTTGGGCGTAAGTCTTCCTTGAGGTAGCCTTTCTTGGAACAGGGGTCCCAATACAGGTCGGCATGACCTCCAGGATTTTTTTTGAATGAGACTCTCCTCCTCATATTCCCTGCGGAGCGCGCTTCAGCTGGGGGAGGATGCTATTTGCCACTCTTTCTATTTGCTGTTTGCTCTTGAAGCTCGGGAGTTCCATTCTTCGGAGGGACCCACTTGGACAGCCCTCCTCCTCCTCCTCCTCCTCCTCCTCCTCCTCTGAGCCTCTTCCTCTGAGCCCAGCACAGCCAGCCGACGCGATCAGCGCCCATCCGCGCTGAGTTCCAAGAACGGCGAAGGCTCGAAGTTCTCCTTCAACCCTTCTGCAAAGGCCCGGGTTGGGGGTCGCTCGCTCGCTTTGGCAGGTGCCTTGCCCTTGCGCCGCGAAAAGGAATTGGCCTGCATCGCCGTGTCAGAATTGGGGGCTCTTGAACAACATATTATTTCTATATGTTGTATTATAGCTTGAAGATGGGGAGATGGGGCCATTTGAGACGTGCAGTTCTGCTGAAGTTGCCCTCTCCCGCGCGCAAAGTCGTAAAGTTTCAGCGCTTTGGTATGCGCTTGTGAACGAATGGAGGTTTTCCTTCGTCGCTGTGACGAAGCCCGACTACCAATGATGATGCCTCCCTTACTTGGCTAGGTCCCCCAGTAGTGCCCTTATACCCTTTTTGTGGGTAGGGTTCCCCTACTAAAATAGACTACAGAAAAAGGGTACCCTTATTCTAACCTCTCTACTGGAGGACCTAGTTGGGATTCCTCATTTCCCGTTTGTGCGTTCTGGTACCTTGCCCAGATTGTCTTGATACCCAGTGGTACCAACATTGAGCTTTCGCATCAGACTTGCGAACTGTACAGAGCCCAATCCTTCTAGCTATCACTAGAGTAGTTCGCCAAGATAGGCTGACAAGATGCAAGCGAAAGCAGCTCAATGGTATCTGGGATTCCACTGGAAAATCTAAGATGAATTGAGTACGGTATATCGTGGTAAGCCTTCTGAATGAAGGATATCCCTGGAATGTATAAATGCTTTCAAGCAATGGATCCATTTATCACAATTAATGGCAATAATCAATCCATAATAATTAATGGTAATACTTAATGGTAATAATAATCAATGGATCCATTTACCATATTACCATCCATAATCAATGGATCCATGGATTTCCCGCGATGTTTTCCCCCTCCGCACCCGTGCAGGAGTTCTCCTTTAACCCGCAGGCTCGGCCTCGGTTGAAAGTTGAGACGGTCCGCCTTGCTGCATGTTCTTGCTGGTGCGATAGGCAGGGAGTGAGGGAAAGAGCCTAATAAATACCATCCAACTGGTGGTTTCCTTTGGAATCCCTGCAGGTTCATACCCTCATTCCCTACTGGGGACCAGCAAGTTTTTTTTTGCTCCCCACAAAGAGTACCGCGTGATTGTGGAGTGCCCTTGGTTTGATTGGAAGGGACCAACGGGGGGAACGTGTAGTCGGTGAGGTGCATGGCAACACCGTGCGGGAGGATGAGTTTTGCCCCGAATCCTGCGTGCTTTTTCCAAGCGGAGGCACCCTTTTGAGGGAGCCTTTGAGTTTTCTGTGAAAGTACCCCCCCCCAAACAGAGTAACAAAAGAAGACACCTTTTCTGCAACCAAGCGGCACCGTTCAGAAACCAAAACCTATGGCTATCTCACTCAAAGTTGACTCAACTGGTTTTTGTAAGGTTTCGTTTGATGCATGTGGGACGCTGGGACACATTTTACATGTTTCCATGTGTTTGCCTTTTACGTGTTGGTGCAGCAAAGATTCAACTATCATGAGAGACATTCGACCTCCACTCTTCTCACCCGGGGGTGGGTGAGTGGGTGGGCGGCTGGGACTTTGGTTTTCCCCCAAAGTGAAACTCCAAAAGGGCATGCCAACAGTTTCAAAAGGGCCATGGTTGGGACGCCTAGCCCTTCAGGCCCCATACCAGGGAACCTCGGATTTCGCGAAACATCGCTTCTTCATGGCTTTTTCTTTCGCGGATTTGGGTTTTCGACTTTCTGAGCCTTTTGGCTCGGGTACCAATTGGGCAAAGGGGTTCAAAGAGAAGCCAAAAGCAGCGCTCGAAGCCGTTCAGGAATGCACCATCCGTTCAACAAAGAAAAACATGTCCCTGCGCAACAGATTCAGCAAGCAGGTGCTTCATCCCGGCAACAATGCCATTTGGCTTTGGGGAAGGGGCTCCCATGAAAGGGCCATCGCAGGCGGCCACCTTCACCCCGACTTCGTCCTCAGCGGCCGGGCGGACCGGCGACAAGGTGGCGCTGCCCGGCCCGGCCTCCGCGAGCGCGGGCGGCGCAGGCGGCGGAGGCGGAGGAAACGCCGGCGACGGGGGGGGGGGGCGCTTCGCAAAGTGGCGGCTCCTGTCATCGGCTTTTTTCGATTTGGTTCATTGGTGGTGGTTAAGGGGTGGCTTCCCATTTACCCTCAAGAAGAACCAGAAGTGCGATTCCAAATCCAAATCACCAAGCCAAACCACCTGGGGGAGGGGAGACATGTGACGTTGGGTTCAAGTTTCTTAATTTTGACTGAACCTTCTGTGGCTCAAAGGCCGACAGACAGCATTTTGGAAGCCCGGTTTGTTTGAGAAACTTTGCGCCCTTTTCGAACCATAGGAACAACACACATGACTGGGTGATAGCCTTCGGTTTGCTTACGAATATGTTTTATTTCCCCTTTGTCGTTAAAGGGAATCTCTATCGCTACTGGACATACCAGAGGACTTGAGCGGGAAAAGCGTTCGGCCCCTTTTCTCCCCCCAAAGAAAGGGCCATCCCTGTCAGATTCAAGAGAATTCCTTGGCACCACCAGAAAAAGAACATTTTTCCACAACAAGCATGGGTGACTCACTTGCCCAAGGCCGACCTTTTGATTTTCAGTGGCCCCAAAAGGTTAGCCTAACATTTATGGGTCCTTGAGGCAACTGAGGTGAGTTGCATGTGGATGCTTCTGTTTTTGAGACCACTCACTTTGGAGTTGTTTTCTGGGGAAACATCCAATTGAGCAAAATAGCCTTTAAACTTTTCGAGATCCCGGACCTGCTGTGGGTTGCTGCCTTTGGCCACCAAGAAAAGGGCCCCGTCTTTCCGTGTGAAAATTCACA